TATTCACACTGGTTTTCTTTGGAGCCTGGGGGAGGAGAGAGGGGTGGGCAGGCAGGACAGGTATGAGTTTACTCAGGGCCCATGTACCCAGAGGGGCCCTGCTCACCACCTGAGAGGAAGGGCACGTGGAGGACACAAGAGATCTTCGTCAGGGTCAGCTGGCATCCCGGGCTTCTTTGCCCTGGAACAGGCTCAACACCCTCCTGCTGCCCGACCCTCCCCGCACCCCCCGATTTGCTAGGAACCTGGGAGCGGCGCCTGGGGCCCGATTACTCGGGGTGCAGATAGGCTTGTTCAGAACGCCGCATGTGGGCAGCATTCAGTAAGCGGCGGCAGACGTGGGTCAGTGAAGCCATGAAACCTCCAAGAGGCTGAACAGAAGCTCTCTTCTCCGAAGAGACCTCAACCAAACGGGGATAGGACAGACCAGCCCAGAAGCTCCTCAGGGCGGGCACTATCCCTAGACAACTGTGGACCAGACTTAATCTGACCATTGGTTCATTTTAAAAGCCTAATTAACCCAATTTTCTTCCCAAACTTCTTTATGGGACTTTTTAAACTTAATTGTGTACCATGTGATCGTAACACGTCATAAAATGTCATATAATCATAAAATGTCATAAACCATCTGACATTTTAGAAGTCAGAGTCAACTGAGAGATCACTAAGACAACTGAAGTTCAGAGAAGTTAAGTTTGAGATTCCAAAGCGTGCGTGCTCACTCAGTTGTGTCCAACTCTTTATGACCCCATGGTCTGCAGCCCTCAGACTTCTCTGTCCGTGGGATTTTCCAGGCAAAAATCCTGGAGTAGGTTGCCATTTTCTCCTCCAGGGGATCTTCCTGACCCAGGGATCGAACCCAGGTCTCCTGTACTGCATGCAGGCAGATTCTTTACTATCTGAGCCACCAGGGAAGCCCACGAGATTCCAAAGGGACAGGCACAAAAGGGAAGGAGGCAAAAATGACCAAAAGCCAGCCCCTGCTCTTAAGCCATTCCGTTTGGGGCTCAGCCCAAAGGCAGTCATGTAGTCGAGAGATGTTCCCTGAATTCAAGACATCTACATACAGCGTCAGGGATACTGCTGAGGAGGAGGGGAACTCATTCTGCCTGGGAACTGGAAATGAGTGTGGGTCTCATCAGTTGGGTCTAAAAGGAGGGCTAAAGGGACCCCAGAAGGGGTTTGGGGACATACATGGGTTTGGGGTCTTCAGTGGATACCCAGGCTGGAAAGGCAGGTGGACAAAGGTGTCAAGGGCTGCCCTGTGACACTAGGAATCTGGGGGAGCTGAGGGGGCATCCGAGTTTCTAAGCAGGGAAATGATTAGGTCAACAAAGCACATGGAAAAGGTGGATTGGAAGTGAACCAGCAGAGGCTGAGAGCCTGTTGATAGAACAGAGATAGGAGATAAGAGAGGGATGCAGGGTGGGATGGGGATGCTGATGGGGGTGGTTTGGGATGTGTCGGAATATCCAGGACATATGGAACCGGGACCCGAACTGAAGTTTCTAACCTAAGTCCAGGATGTTTGCATCCACCACCCCTCACAAGCTGCCAGCAGTCTTTCTGTACCAGGTACCCTCTGGGTGCCGCCCATACTCATCACAGCTACCCACTTCGAGGTTGTCTTCCTTTGTCCTCATTTCACTGGTGGAAAAAACAAGGTGCAGAAGGTCCAGGGACTCACCCAAGACCACACAGGTGGCAAAAGAGTGGAGCTGGGATTTTACCTGGACAGTCTAGCTCTACAGAAGTTGCCAATCACCACTGTTACTGTTATTAGATTGTATGTGTGCGCACATTCATGTATGTGTTTGGAGTAGTGGGGAGAGGAAAATAAACAAATAGCAATTAAAAGATGAAACGGGAATTCCCTGGTGGTCCAGGGGCTAGGACTCTGTGCTTTCACTGCTGAGGGCCAAGACCCTGGTTGGAGAACTAAGATCTGGTGGTGACCCAGGCAGGGGTAGGACATCTACATACAGCGTCAAGGTGTCAAGGGCCGCCCTGTGCCAAGGGTGCGGGGGGAGATGAAATAGATTAGTAACAGGACAGGCAAGTGTAAATGAAAAAGCAGGAAGAGCTGCAGGATCCACGTTTCTAGGGGAGAAACTGTAAGGAACACCTGGGGAGTTAACAAGGGAGACAGACACAACCAAGCAGAATTAGCTCCTGTTCCCCTAGGGCCTGGGGTCTGCTTTTTCTTTGGTCCTCCACTCCGGGCCAGTCCTCTGGAGCAGATCATACTCAGAGGAGTGAGATTTTGGTCTCAATGATACAGATAACCCCTGCCCCACACAGGCCCTGGGACACTAGTTCTGGGTGTATAGGACCTATCTCCCTGTCAAGCCCTTAGTCAAGTGGCTAGAACCCAGAGGAACAATCATTAGTACTCTACTTTACCCACCATCATGGTCGGCCATCACAGGCTGCAGTGCAAAAGGATCCTACACTTTGAGAACCAGACTTGGAAAGGACAGTCTATGCTGGAAGAAAGGCTTCATCTGAACAGAGTCATGGTGAGTGGGCTTGATTTGAGAGCCTGGATTTGGCTGGGTGAAAGGATTTTGGAAAGGTGATGCTTTCCTTATCTGAAGGAGGTCTTAGCTAAACAGTGAGCACCTTAAATCTTCTCTGGAAAGAGGTGGTGCAAGTGCAAGCATAAAAGTAGAGTGCTCTTGGCAATACAATTCTCATCTAACGAAGGATTCTGAGTGTGGTCTGGTCCCATCTCCTCTCTCTCCCTGAATGTTGTTTTGGGAGTTCCGGAAACCTGACTGCTCAGAACTTGGTCTTCAAGCTCCACAAGGAGCCTCTTTCCCCCCCACCCCCACCTCGCTTCAAAGAAGGAAGTTAGGACAGGAGGAAGCATCTTTAACATTGTTTCACAAACCCAAAATAAGAGCGCACATATGTCCAGTGAGCATGTACGCTGTGCCAGGCACTGTTTTAAGAGCTCTGCAGATGTTAACTCATTTAATCCTCACAACCACCTCTGAGATGAACAGGCAGGAAGCTAAATGCAATCAGAGTGATGCTCTGGGAAATCTGGGAGCAGATCGGAAAGACACAGAGCTGCCCTTCTGCGGGGTCAAACAGCCAGGTGGGCTCTTCAATGCCATTGGGTGGTTGGGGAAAGTAGGACCCAGGAAGCAAAGCACAGGGTCACAGGAAAATGGGACTAAAGGTTCTGGAGAACAAACCCAATGTTATGGTTCTTTTCAGAAATCAGTTACACGAACCTACAGCTAGATGGGTCTTCACCAGATAAGCAGTGAAATGGGCCCAATACCCCCTGAGAGAAGTCCCCTAGCTACACTGCTTACCAAGGTGACCAAAATCTGCTGAAAAAAACCTATTAAACCCACTTCTTGTCTCCTGCAGCCAAACAGCACATCCAACATCCCCTACTGGCTCCAGGCAGGGTGGAGAAGGCCAGCAAGGGGCTCCCGAGGGCAGGAGAAAGAGCTTAGAAGGCCTGAACCCAGCCTGCCATGGTCACATGACCACAGGGTTCTCCCCAAAGCCCAGTGCCTGTGAGCAAAGAGCCTGTGTAACAGCTGCTGATTGGCTGAGGGACATTAGAGTGGGCAAGGGTAGCATGCCTTAGTGAGCTGATGGCGGCCGCAAGGGGTAGGTCAGAAAGCCAGTGGAGCCAGCAGCCAAACAGGTGGGGCAGGACGTGGCCGACATTCTCTCAGAGAGAAAGGACCCCAGAGCCGCAGACAGCTCCCCAGCCAAGCCGTCACAGCGCCTGAGGGTGGGACACGGCCCGCTCGGACCCCGATGCCCTTCTATTCCAAGGACAGTTGTACCTCGACATTCCACACCAATGTCTTTCCTTTTTCAATTCCTAGACTTCCAATCCCCCCAAAAGGAGGTGAAAGGCAAAGATTGGGGGGAAGCGATGGGCTGACATTAATTGATAGGAGCGGCTTCGAGCAGTTCATGTGGCCTTATCTCTCTCTCCTCTGGATAGCGTGTGTCCGCCGGAGTCCGCGGGGTCGGTGATTAATAGGGGCCATCACTCACTGTCCAGGACGGCTGAAAGGCAGCAGGGAGGGGGCGGCCCTCCCCAGAACTGAGATAACAAGCAGCAGGAATAATGAGTGGTGTCACTCCACTTTTCATTTTGATGGAAAGTCATTACGGGAGTCAACGCCAGCGACAAAGAGCCATGAATCAACTGCTCTGCTATGAAATTAAAATCGAATTGCTGGCCACCCCCAACCCCTACCCTTCCTGGGAAATAGGGATGGGTAGGTGGCCGGGAAGAGGGGTGCTGGCCTGGGGTGGGCTGTACCCAATCACAGAGCAGGCAGTTATGGGTGGGAAGTGGACAGGCAGCTAGCGAAGGTGACAACTCCTGTCTCCACCTTGTTGATCAGACCCTTCCTCCCCAAACCGCATTTTCCCTCTGCCTGGAGGTAAGCTGTGATTAAAAGGAAAATACAGGTTTGCTGGCTCCAACAAGGCTGCCACTTGACTGCTCCCCTTGGGCTTCTGGCCTGAGTGGGGCAGTCTGGGCCTGGCTGTGGAGAGAAAGGGCCCCAGCTGACTCAGCTACCCCAGAGCCCCTTGCTGAACTATTTGTAGACGCTAATCTGTGGGGCCTCCCTGACACCAGAGGCAAAGAGGAAAAGTCCCCAACCTGCTACCTCAGAGGATCAAGAACCCCATGCAAATGGGCACCCAGCCTCAACCCCAGGCCCAGAGACGGGCACAGTCAGTAGGGAAACAAGAATCTCTCTTTTATTAAAGTCCAACTACATTAACAAGAAGGGCCAGAAGCTGTGATATGAGGCTGAGGGGCCGCAGGACCATCAAGACAGCCTCTTGCAGAGAGTACAGAGAGTGCCGAGGTCACCCTCTGGGTGACAGTTCCATCACAGGGCCTTCCGGCCTCCAGTCAGCTTAGTCTCTCACCAGGAAGAGCCCCGTGCTGTCCCTCCTCCATCCTGAATGCTGAGAAGATGGGCAGGAAGAACAACGGCAGTAGGTCACAGAGAGATTCCCATCAGGTTCACGGGGCGCCCGTGGTACCTCTTGGAAATGTCAGCTTCAATCTGAAAGACAGTGATACCGAGTGGGTGGGAGGCAGAAGGCAAAGGGGCCTCATTCTGCGGAAACCGGGCAGGTTTGCCTCTCTGGTCTCACCAGCTTCTGCAGCTCCTTTGTCTTCTCCAGCAGCAGATCCAGCTTGGGCTCCAGAACTGCCTGCTCCTGGAGGGCTTCCTGTTGCTTCTGCACCATCAGTTCTTTCTTCAAAGCCAGCAGCTGGGACTGCTTCAGCTTCTGCTGGAGGAGCTCAGTCACTCGGTCCACATACCTGGGCAGGGCATTCACGTAAGTGTTCGGTGTCTCTGGGCAGCCTGGGTGTCCCCATCCAACTGCTGGAACAGGGGAGGCTTGGTCTCTGTCAGCCTCTCAGCCTCCACATCCTTCAGTCCTTCCTTGTATGGAATGCCACTCCCACTTCCCCATCCTACCCAGGAAGCAGATTTTGCCTGCCTATTTCAAGCCACCCCATCTTGCCCCAAAGAGAACCTCCAACCCCAGTTGGGGTGGTGCAGTTATGGAAGCACGGATGAGGTCCAAGGGTCACGGAGAGGAAGAAACAAGGAGGCAGGGCCGCCCAAGATGGCAAAGCCCTGCAACATGCCCTGGAACAGCCCAACATCAGGGGGAAAGCCAGACCTTGGTGAGGCCAGGATCATAAACAGGTGCTGCATTCGAAGATTGGTGAGCCGGCCAATCAGATCCTGCAGTGCCGACACCATGGCGACCATCTTTGCCTTGGTCTGGCCTTGCAGGATGGCTGGAGCCAGCTGGAACTGGCTCACAGACAGGATGTCTGCCTCCTCACTCATCTCCACTGCTCTCTGGGACAAGAAGACTTCTAGCTGAGGACGGAAGAGGATTTGGTTCAAACTGAGAAAAGAACTCAGAAGCTAGGCCCTCAGCCTGTTCAAAATAAAGAATAAGGTAAGGGTTGGATTCTGGAGGAGGGACAGTGGGGACTGCCTGGTGTGGTACAGTCCATGGGGTCGTATAGAGCTGGACACGACTTAGCAAATGAACAGGGCTTCCCTGGTAGCTCAGACTATAAAGAGTCTGCCTGCAATGCAGGAGACCCACGTTTGAACCCTGGGTCAGGAAGAGCACCTGGAGAAAGGAACGGCAACCCACTCCAGTATTCTTGCCTGGAGAATTCCATGGACAGAGGAGACTGGTGAGCTACACCCATGGGGTTACAAAGTCAGACACGACTGAATGACTAACACACACCTAGTGAATGAACAACAACAACGGAGGAGCAGTTATTTCCTCTGAGCATTTTTATTGCTAGAAACTCACCAACTATAAGGTGGGAATTTGGGGCAGCCTCCACCATCAACTTTCAGTCCCTCATTGCTGTCCCAGGCCTTATCTAGCCCAGGAACACCCCCTCCTCCTCCCAGGCTATGGATCAGATAACTATAAAGCGATTGAAGGGGTTCTCTCTGCTCAATGAAGATATTTTCTCTCCATGGGAAAAATGAGACTCAGGGAACAGGAATCCATGTTTGAGAAGCCCTAGATTAAGAAAAGGCTAGGAAGAAATCTGAGAACCAGCCACGTATCTTGTCACTTTTATTCAACCATGGAAACCTGAACTAGACTGGTGAGGACAAGATGTTCCATGAGGGCCAACCCTGCCGGCAGGCCTGAGAAGTGGACAGACTCAGAAATTAACAAAAGCAGGCCCCCAGCTTCCCAGTCCCACAAAGAAGGCCCAAGAACACCAGCTTCTTACTGTGGGCTGCCAGACACCTCAGCCACAGAGATGACATGAAACACAAATGAGAACGTGGTGCTCCAAACCTCCAACAGTTCCCAGTTCCCTTCAGCTTTCTGAGGTCTTCTATTCCCCCAGGTCCCCTGCTCGGCCTCCTTGTCCATCACGTGTGCCGGACACACTTCTGCTTCAAAGCTTCTGTGCTGCTCCCCCTGCCTGGAAGGCTTATCCTGCTGGACATGGGCTTGGCTCTCTCTGGACCCCCTGCAGGTTTTGGCTGACTGGTCACCTTTGCAACAAGGCCTTCTTGACCACCATAAAAACACAGGCCTTAAAAAAAAAATAAAAACAAAGAAAAAAAACCCACAGGCCTTCCCAGCAACCCCATCTCCCTTTCCAGCTCTTCTCCACGGCACTATGTTAACACCTAACATGCTGTGTATTTTACTTGTTTGCCTCGTTTCTTGCCTGCATTCTCCACTAGACTACAAGCTCCATGAGGTCAAGGATTCTGTCTTGTTTTCTGCTCAGTCTCCTCAGACAGCGCCAGGGGTTTAGGAAGGATGATAAACATGATGAACACTGTTGAGTGAATACATGCTCACTCGCTTCAGCTGTGTCCAACTCTTTGCGACCCTATGGGCTGTAGCCAGGCTCCTCTGTCCATGGGATTCTCCAGTCAAGAATACTGGAGTGGGTTGTCATGCCCTCCTCCAAGGGATCTTCCTGACTCAAGGATCAAACCCATGCCTCCTGCGGCTCCTGCATTGCAGGTGGGTTCTTTATCACTGAACCACTGGGGAAGCCCGTTGAATGAATGGAATGAATGGGAAGCATCCTAATGCTCCAGAGTGAATGGGAATGCCCCTGCTCCAGAACACTGACAGCACTCAGCATCCTTCACACAAACAGAAGGGTCAGGTCAGGTGGCTAGAGCAATACCGCCTATGCTGGTGCCGGGCCTCCCCGCACATCACCCAGAGACAAAAGTACCTCCATGAGCTCATCAATGAACTGATTCCGGGTCTCAGGGTATTCAAGAAGTGTCAGAGCATCCGGGCCCCTGGCAACACCTTCGGGAGCTGCCAGGAAGAGAGAGAAGTGATAAAGTGGCTAAAGACTATACAAGAAGACCATTGGTTTGAGAAGTCCTCGTGCATTAATATGGACACAGACACTACACTAAAGCCACTTCCTGTTCCAACCCAAGAAGGAAGGGTCACCCTTTCCCATTTGTTGCAGCCCTAATCAGGCACTAAGAGCCAGCTGCAGTCTGTGAGGAGGACCACAGAGCTGAGTTCCAAAGAACCAAGAGTTCCTTCACTTTGGTGGGCATCAAGTCTCATCCTGCACTGCCCTCTAGTGGCTCAGTCACAGCCTCTCGGCTTGTGGGGGAAGCGGGGGCCAGGTCAGCCCTCTCGGAACATCCCAGACAAAGGCTGACCCACATTCAATATCCAAAGCACTGAGACTTTCTAGGCTTCATTTTAAGAACTCTTCTCTATCCACTACACTCACATCGTCAACAAGATTTTGAAAAAAAACAGGTAACTGTATGAGAAGCGCAGCCTTGGCAGTGTACATTTTTTTTGCTTCTAGAGACACAGGGGTATCCTCTGCCAGGGTTGCAGGGAGCGACACACTCACCCTGGGTTCCGGCTTCCAGCACGGTGATCTGCAGAGCAGTGGCATCGTCTCCCCAGTCTATCTCATCACCCCCAGCTTCCTGGGTGGAGAGCAAAGAACCCCTGCAGTGTTGGGAGAACTTTCCCCAGCAAAGGGAGCCAGAATAAACTAAAGCCCTCAAGCAGCTCAATGATGGCACATTTCAACTATATGAAGGAACTGCAGCCCTGATGGAGGTGGCAAAGATGGCAGTGTGGGCCCATGAATATAGGTACCACCTGCCTACACCCCCACACCTGCCCCAAACACCAAGAGAAAGAGGTCTAAACTCTGACATGTCACTTTGGAAATTCTGCCTCCCCCCAAACTATATGTGGTCCAAGAGCTATGAACTTCAAGTGATGTCTTTAAAGAGAGAGAGAGAAAACTTTTTTTTTTCCTTTCACCACACTGAGAGGCACCCGGGATCTCAGTTTCCTGACCAGGGACTGAACCCTTGCCCCTGCAGTGGAAGCGTGGTGTCTTAACCACTGGACCACTAGGAAATTCCCAACATGTTTCTTATCACCAAAACAGCAATCACAGAAAGTCCTCAAGAGAGACGGACCGAGAGAACATCCCAACCTTTGAATCCGATTCCAGGGAGATGCCCCAGTCAATTCCAGCAGTCTGGGCAGAGATGCCAGAGTCGGCCCCTTCAGATGTCACCTCCACCCCAAAGTCACCCCAGTCAATCTAGAAGGGAAAAAAGTGTTAGCTCAAAGAAGATGGGTGAGAAAAAGGGGCCTGCCTTCTTCTAGGTCTCAGCAGAGAACACGGGCACGCTGTTTAAACATAATGGCCTTCAAGCTTCCCAAAGGAGAGACTATCTTCAGGGAGCTCAGGGGACTGAGGTTCCCAGTTCAAAGCTGACCAGCCTCCTGGGCCTCTTCAGCGCTCATCTACCCTGTGGTCTCAAGAATGCCAGAAAAACGAAGGAGTAGGGCCTTCTGGGCCCTTCCACCTACAGTCTCCCTCACAGGAACACCCCTTTCTTCCCTCTGGACTCTGAGTTCAAAGGGGACAGGGGAGGATTGAATCGTGTATGAGGGGAGGAAGCGGCTCTCACTCGGCCTTTCTTACCGCATCTTCTTCCACCTGCTCAGGGGGCTCCTCAAGGTGTGGCCTCTCCACTACCGAGGGCTCCGTGCCCGTCCTCCACTCGTACACTGTGCAGTTCCCCCGCGTCTGCACAAACCGCAGCATCGGCAGCACCTGCTCTGTGGGGCTGCAATGGAGCGTGCCGCTGACCCTCCTGTTGCCCACTTGTGAGACCAGGCCCAGGGCTGGGCCTGGCACTCAAGCGTCATGTGGGGAAAGTACAAGTGGGGAAGAGAGCGCAGCCGGGGAAGTAGCTCAGTGGTCCCTGCCCCCCTCCACTGGGGAGAAGCCGGGGCCCTCGATACCTTTCACACACGAACCCCACACAGGCCTGGTACAGGTCAATGGCTTCACCCAGGGTCTGGGCCGCCGCCCCGATCTCGGCCAGCTGACTGGGTAGGTCCTTCACCAGGGCCAGTAGTTCTCTTCGGACATTGTCCCCCTAGAGAGGATCCACGAGGTAGGCTCAGACAGAAGTGGTGGGAAGTGGAGTCCAGCGGATTAAAGAAAATGCCTGAAGATTCAAGATGGGCAAGAAACTGGCCCAAGAAGGGCCCAAGCGGCAGAGAAGGAAAGCCCGCCCCAGAAGCAAAGGCACTGGGCCCAGGAAGACAGACCGAGGCCCCAGGCATGTGTCCCCCCGCTGCGGGAGAGCCGGCCTGCTCACCGTGAGGCCGTACTGCTTGCACGAGTGGTAGAACTGCTCCCTCATCTCGGCAGCCCCCGCCTGGCCCTCTTCCTCCTTGCGGCTGTATTCCTGCTGCAGCTGCTGGCACTTGGCGATCTGCTTCTTCAGGGAGGGGATCTCATAGCTGACGTTCCGAACCAGGAGGCTGGAGAGCTCCACTGAGAAGGATGGGCCCAGGAAGTTCACCCCAGACCCCCACCCCTAAGGCAGGCCTGCCCCAAGGACGTGCGCAAATATACCCTAGCCTGGAGGCGAAGAGCATGGGGTTGACCTCCTAGCTCCTCCCCTTCCTGGCTGTGGAACCTAAGACAGTCATTTAACCTCTCCAATCCAGTCCCCAACTATAAAACAGGGGTAGTAATATTTAGCATGAGAATTAAGAGAATCCATATAAAACACAAGTATAATTCCTTGCATTTAGTAAGTATTAATATTTGGTTAATATTAGCTATTATAATTATTTACACTGTTAGCAAATACAACCCAAACTATAGTCAGCCTTTTAGTTATTCACTCAGGCACTTGATACAAGCCCCAGGTCAACCTGTGCCTCTTCTGCCCAGTGGAGCAGAGGGGTGCCGGGGGCGCTAGTCATCAAGAGGTGACCAGCAGAAGACCCATAAGCACCCATCCAAATGCCCACAACCTGCCTGCTGGTCATCCTCCTCCCAATACTCATTGAAATTTATTTTCCCACCTTACAAACCTCTACACAACCAGCCTCTTCCCCGATATGAACTATACCTCCTAGAGGTCCAGTGTCTCAAAATTCGAGGAGGGAGCCCCCCCGTGGACACTGGGACTCCCAGGTTGGGCCCCTCACCTAGGTAGGTGTTGTCCTTCTCATATAGGGCTACGATCTCCTGCCAATCCTAGGAAAAGAAACAGGAAGTGAGCCAGGAGAGTAGCCACATCCCAGCTCAATCCCCCAACAGAGGAAGCTCTCCCAGTCTCTGCATCCTCACCCTCCTTCATAATGCTGGCTGGACCACCCACTTTAAGAGGATGGTGCCAACGAGCGATTCCCAAAGCAAATGTAAACCCAGGGGTAGGGGTCACAAAGAGTTGGACACGACTGAGCGACTGATAACTTTCACTTTCAGGATCTACTTTTGGCATAAACTATGGGGACAGAGAGAAAGTTGAGGAAATATTACACGGGGGCATCTCCACTGGATCCTCAGCGAGATCAGACAGCCTCTGACCCCCTGGACTGGATGCCTCCAGCTGCGCGTTACCACTGTCACCCACACTTGCCTTCATTCTCTGTGAAGAGTACCGGCCGAAAATATTTTTTGTGGAGGCTTCAGTGCCCTTGAGAAGCTCCACAATTCTTAGGCAGTGGAAGTAGTGAATGTCTGGAAAGCAAAGAAAAACAAAGACTTTGGAAATAACAGTCTCTAACCCACCATTGCGGCCACCGCATATGGCTGACTCATGTATATGCCAGTAACTTTAGAAGGCACAGCTCTCCCCTTCATCATTTTGTGTTGAAATAAACCAAATAAAAATAAAAGCCTCTTTTTCTTTAGAGGACAGTCCTATGACTAAAGAAAAGGGAACAGCTCAGCAGATATATACTGCTGAGGAAAGAGGGGGGGGTCCAGGAATGCAGCCCCGAAGCACTCACAGGATCCAGAGAGCAGCTGGGCGATCTCTTGGCTCTCTGGCATGTCCTGGATGGCGGCGTTGATCTTCTCTCGGATGGTCAATACCAGACTCTGCCATTTCAGGGTGCAGTGCCTTCTGTCTACCAGCCAGTCTATAGCAGAAACCCAAATCATAGCATTCCCGTGGCCAAAATTCCCTCACTGATTCGAGTGAAATATGCTAAGGCATTGGCTAAAAGTTGTACTCATATTGGTTAAGGTGTGGGGGGTCACAGGAAGATGGGAATGAAGACAGGCTCAAAGGGATGCTTGGGGCTAAACAGATTCCAGCAACCTAACTTTATCCACAATGTGACTTTTATAAAGTAACTGCCTCAACATAGGGTAAAGCAAAGCTTTCAATTGGTCCTGACATCAAAGTGCCACTTTGGACCACTCTAAATTCTCCATCATATTTTTGCTTCCATGGATAACTATATCCTTCTCACTGACAGAGGATGCCATTCAATTTCTACTTTCTCAGGGCTGGGATTAACCATGACAATGAAAATACAAGATGGTTATACCAAATACCAGATGAAAGAACTGCAAAGCCCCTAAGGACTAAATAACACTGGTCTAGTCTTACCAGTGAAGCACCATCCTGCACACATGAATACCAATGTGACTGACTTCCTGGATTCTGGGCCAGACCTGTTTTTAGTTGAGGGTATAGGTGAATGAGAACCATGTACATTTCCTCATAGGAGAGAGCTAAGACCTAGACTTTGTGGTCAGCTGGTCCTGGCTCTAATTACCAACTTTCTTGGGCAAGTCTCTCAACCTCTCTGCCTCAGTTTCTCTACATGTAAAATGGGGATGATAAATATACTGAGTACAAAGAGTAACACTGAACACTGTGCCTGGCACATGGCAAGGGCTCAATAAATTGTAGTGATCTTCATTTTCATAATGTTAAGCACAGAAAACAGCACTTGGTATAGAATAAACCCTCAATAAATGGTTGGGTTTTTATTGGTCCTTTTTGGGACCAATAACAAGCATATACATCAAGTGTGTACATGTCCTGAAGAGCTAGGACAAATCCGAAATGAAGTTAAAGATGCTCCACCAAGTGGCCACCTTGCCCTTGTTAATAAATCTGCTAACTGGTCAAATGCTGGGAGCCCACATTAGTTATCAGTTATATTCCCATTGCTGCACTCCACTAAAATCTTCAAAAACAAAAATTATGTAGATGTCACAGAAATAGAAGCAAAGGGATGACATAGTCAAACAGACGTCATCTTAATGACACAACTGGCATCAAAACAATTAATTCAAAGACCATTTAAAAATCCAGGAGCTGTGCACTGCCCTAGAGGGGTCAGAGTGAAGAGGCCCTTCCCCGGCTCTGAACTGGAGAGGAGGTATAGACCCGATACAGACAGCAGGGAGATGGCCTGGCCACTAAAAGGCTTTCTTTTCAATTGGACCTACGTGCCTTTTCCTCCTAAAATCAAAGGAAAAAATAAAAAGGAAGAACGTTCCCCCCCCGCCAGCATAATACAATAGTGGAACCTGACACACTTAGGTTCTAACTTCAGATCTGCCATCCAGCAGCTGATCAGCTTTAAGGTAAGCCTTCAACTCTCCTCTGTCCCTCAAAGATATGATTGACAACATGCTATATACGTTAAAATAGAAAACACAGGTCAATATAGAGTCTCTGCATGGTTCCTTCCCGCTCCTTTTACTGAGGCAGGTCCAGCCACAGATGGGAGCACAGAACAGAGTGGTCGGCGCTTCCGCTGTTGGTGACAGAGGGCAAGGGGGCCAGGTCTCCCCTTGACAACTAGTTGAGCGGGGGCGCCCCTCCTACCGAGTAGCTTGCTGGTCTGGATGTCGATGGGCACATGCTGATGGTCCTAGCGGAAAACACGGCGGGGAAAGGTACATGAGTGCGGCGAGGGGACAAGCCACTCGCGCGCTCGCTTCATCGCCCCAACCGCCACCCTGCGGGGCCAGCACAACGGACCGGGGAGGGCCGCCCCCCCGGAGAGAGCCTGAGGAAACAGGTCAGGAAAGGACCGGCTGAACTCAGCCCAGGGGTCCCAGGGCAGCCCCCCATTTCCCCAGCTACTGTTCCCCCACCTGCATCTTTCCTCCACTTCCGTTTCCGGCCTCCGACCGTGACCCGCCCCGCCTACCACTAATCCAGTGCTGTTGTAGCTGAGCCTCGGGTTAGGCACAGACGGGTCTTCTCTGGTGACGTGTCACCGCCTTCCTCAGAGCCAATCGGGACGCGCGCTCCATCCCGGGCCTCAAGCCCCACCCACCCTGGGGTTCCGAGTGGCTGAGCCGGAGAAGGGCGGGAGAAGAGGAGCCAGCCAATGGGAGACGCGAGGCGGGCTCAAGACCTGGTAGGAGCCGGAGCGTCAGGAAAGGGCTGCAGCGGCGGCGGGATCCCGGCAGGCGGCGTTCTAGAGCTGGTCCCAGTCGCTTCCGGCCAGGCAGGCGCGGAGCCCTCTGCTTAAAGATTAACGAGTCTGCCAACAGGGTCCTAGCGCCCACTGAGAAATTTAGAGGTCCTTGATGTTTAGACGTTCCGTCGTATCCAACCCTTCACGACACCATGAATAGGAGCACTCCAGGCTTCCCTGTCGTTCACCATCCCCCGGAGTTTGCTCAGACTTATATCCATTGATTCGGTGATGCCATCCAACGGTTCCAACGATCTCATCCTCTGTTGTCCCCTTCTCCTCCTGCCCCCAATCTTTCCCAGCATCAGGGTCTTTTCCAGTTAGTCAACTCTTCCCGTCATGTGGCCAAAGTATTGGAGCTTCAGCATCAGTCCTTCCAGTGAATAGTAAGGGTTGACTTCCTTTAGGATTGACTGGTTTGATCTTGCAGTCCAAGAGACTCTCAAGAAGAGTCTTTTTAGAAATGCCCTCTTTGCCTCGCTTTACCGTGGATCATGGTTTAAAAGTCTTTTGTGGCACTTTTGTCACACATTACCTTCTCACTGAATTTATGTAATAGACAAGTGTTGAACACCTGCTACGTGTTATGTGATTAGGGCAGGGATCGGGAGGGAGGAGGGTCAAAGGAGGCATCCCAAAGATAACACCTAAATTGAGTGTTAAAAGAAGAATTGCAGAAAGAGGGAGTTGTGGGAGTGGTGTTCCGGGTGGAGTAGACTGTACAAAGCTTTGCAGGCTTTGCAACGAGGTGCAGGGAACAAGAGGCAGGCAAGACTAGCAAGATAACTGCAGGAGTCCAGTGTATAATTAAAATGCCCTTGTTAAAAAATATAAACTGGACTTCCCTGATGTTGCAGTGGATAGGAATGCACCTGATACTGCAGGGGACCTGGATTTGATCCCTGGTCTGGGAAGACGCCACATGGCCTCAGAGCAACTAACCTATGTGTCACAATTACTGGGCCCGTGCTCTAGAGCCCGGGAGCCACGACTACTGAGCCTGTGTGCCTAGAGCCTGTGCTTCACAAGAGAAGCTACCACAATGAGAAGCCCCAGCACCACAACTGGAGAGAGAAGCCACCACTCTCTGAAGCTAGAGAAAGACTGTGTGCAGCAACAAAGACCCAGTGCAACCAAATAAATAAATAAACTGCATAGATCTCACACTTACGGAGCCGGCCCTTCAGATAGGCCAGCCTCTGTGCTGTGAAATGTTTGAGGCAGGGGGTGGCTGGAGAAGGGACTGTAAAGGCAGAAGGGTGGTATCATATTATATCATCTCAGGAAGGAGCTTGGACTTCCCCCTGCAGGGAGAGAGGAACCACTTGAGGGTTTCAAGGCTTTGAGGCTTGAGGCAAAGAGGGACCTGTACAAACTGACAGCAGAGAAGATGGATTCGTGGGAGGTAAGGCTGAAGGCACGGAGACTGTTAAAAGGTTATTGTGCAAGAGTTAGAGCTTGACCTGACACAGAGGCACGAGGAGGAAGAGAAGGACTGGATTTCAGAGATGGTTTGGAGGAAAATGGACAGGGCTTGGCAGTTGGTTGACTGTGTGGGTGGGGAATGGGACAACAGGATGACACATAGGTGGTTGAGTGGGAGTGCCCCACCTAATTCAGGGATGCAGGATGCTGAACAGGGGGTGAGGAGGAGGGCATCTCAGCTTTGAATTTGTGGGGTTGGTGGCCCAGGGAGACTCCCCTGTGATAAGTGTGCAGGAGGCACTTGGGTCTGCAGCTCTGGAGTTCAGGGGGCTGGAGATACAGCTTTGGAGAGCTGTAGGCTGACTCATCTGCAGTCCAGGTTGTGGCTGAAGCTGAGGGAGAGCATGAGATGGGTCCAGAAGTGCAGAGGAGAGAGGGTGAGAGGAGAGAGGAGAGAGGGGGGACAGGAGATCTCACAGGGCTGGATGTGCCATTTTGCACCCTTCCCCTTCCAGGTTGTTAGCTCCTCCAGGAGGCTCTGCTTGAGTCTTTCTAAGTGACCCCCCCAGCAGCCACCTCTGCCCAGCACATCACTTGGGGCTTAGTAAATTTTTTATTGAACTGTGTGATGTGATAGGGCAGTGAGAAGACCTAGATTCCTGCCCAATGAGATCTTGGACCATTTCGATAAGCTCTCTGCCAGCCACGGTTTCCTCAACATGGAGATAAAACATCCTGACCATCTCAGGCTATTTCTATTTACAAGCTTAAATAAACAAACACACTAGATGTAATGTAACTCTTTATAGTTTACAACATGCTTTCATAGATTTTTTTCCTCATTATTTGCAAACTCTCTGTGTGTGTCTATGAAACATTAATCATTATTGTTATAAAAGGGGTTGAAAGTCTTCCATAAAAATGGCTCATAGGGCAGAACTAAGGGCCTCTTCAGGGCTCTCTCATGGGAATTTGGCTCCCATCTTCGAGTCCTGACTCAGACTATAGGAATGGCTGGAGCTTCCCCATGATTAAACAAACTTACTGGGTTCCAACTATGTGTTCCCGGCTCCCTGGGACATCCCAAGAAGCATGGCCCTGCCCCACCCTCAAGGTGCATCTCTCCTCCTTGAACCAACAGGTAGGGCAGGGCAGGATGAGTCTGGAAGGCCCAGCCCTGGTAAGGTGGTCGAGGCAGAGACCACCAGCACTTCACCCCCACCCCCTCACTGCACCCCAAGTGACTCATGCGGAAAGAAGGGTGTTTGAGAACAGCTCTGCCCGGGTGCTAGCGTCAGGGTGGTGGCCCCGGAGAGCGTAGGGGTGCAGATTTTGCACAGTATCTGCACCGTTTGTCCTTTTCCGAGGCCATCGAGAGGCTCAGGGCCAATGGGCAGGTAAGCACACAGGTGGTCTGGCCTCTAGGGCATCGAGATCCTTAGGGCTCCCATCCTCTGGAAAGTGGCAGGGAGAGGCTGTGAGAGGCTCTGACTGTGAATCTCAATTCTCTGCTGATTTAGCAGGTGGGGTGCTGTCGGGGGAGGGGTAGCACTTAGGAAGGTGAGGAAAAAGACAGGAGGCCTGTGGGGGCTTTAGACAGGAAAGCACAGGGCCCTGGGGTGCTGTCTATGCAGGCTGCCTTGCCATCCTTTGTTGTTAGCTTGCTTATTAAGTGATAGTATGTGCCGTGTGCCAGTGTAGATCTAAATGTTTTACAAGCCTTATCTAATTTGATCCTTCCAAACAACCTTATAATCTGGGTACTGTTATTAGCAAGGTTTTAAAGGCAAGGGAGCCAAAGCTCAGGTAATTAAGTAACTTGTCCAAGATCATAGAGCTGGTAGTTGGTGAGGCTGGGATCCAAACCCAGGCCTGTCTGGCTCCCCAGCCCGCATTCTTGTTCTCCGTGGGATGTGGCTTCTCCGGCAGCCCTGCCTGCTGCATTCAGGCAGCTCGGCCACTACGGCCTCAGGCCTCTTCCTCCCTCATTTTCGGCCCGATTCCCACTTTCTCCCCTGATGTTGTGTCAGACAGTCAGCACCCCCACCCTCGCAATTCCTGGCCTTTACCAAAGTTCTTTCTTACCACACCCCATTCTGGGCAAGAAGGTCCATTGCTTATGTTCTTGCAATATCTATAAAAGGAAAGCTTATCTTTGACATTCAAATAATCCATTTATTTTATCTACCATATGTTTATGAGTTTATGGTCCTTGTTTTATGTGTGTTTGCTCACAGCAACACTGACTGTGTTGTGTGTCTGTGTGTGTGTGTGTGTGTGTTTATGTGGTGTATCTGCCTGCTGGGCTGAAGGCTCGGGAAACACAGCATTCTCAGCTGGGCCTCTTGCTGGTTGCAGTGTAATCTCTGGGTTGGTTTTTGCAGTCTGTCTCCCTAGCTAGCCAGTGAGCACCTTGTGGGCGAGGAGTACAGGCCTGCTCATCTCTGTGCCCCCAGCCCCTGGTATGACCCTGACACTGAGTGTCAGGTGCTTAATGGATGCTTGTGAAGGAAGGAAAGAGAAAATGCAGCAGGTGCAGGAAGGTATTTAGTGATGAGTGGGGAGCATGATCACTGGGTCTGGGGGGAGGGCTGTGCATTCCCCAGTTCTTTTCTTCACCCCTTCCCCTACAGCTCAGGACTTGGAGTCACTTGGAGCTCGAGGGAGAAATTTGAGGTGAAGATATTAGGGCTGGTTAGCTTCCTAAGTTAAGCATAAGCCAGAAGGCCCATAAGGTGCCAGTCAGCCGGGTGGTGCTCTGGGACCCATGATAAACCCTGGCCACCAAGCCTTCTCCTTCCCTTCACCTTTGTTAGTCATCTAAGGGAAAATAAGTCACCGGGTAGTTTCATGAATTGGGTTCAAGGGGTCATCTTCGGAGGATTGCCCCTGCTTTTCATGGTTTCTTCATCCCCATCATGGCAGGTGGAGGGAATCTGCTCTTTCACGGGGAGGAAAAGGAAGTCCACTGCCAAGCCTCTCACCTCTTAGCCTCCCTTCCCATTTTGTTCAGTGTTAGTTAGCCTCTATTTGTCAAGCACTATTTGCCAAGATGGGCCTTCCAGGTGGCTCCGTGGTAAAGAATCCGCCTGTCAATGCAAGAGAGTCGGGAGACGTGGGTTCAGTCCCTGGATCAGGAAGATCCCCTGAAGTAGGAAATGGCAACCTACTCCAGGATTCTTGCCTGGAAAATTCCATGGACAGAGGACCGTGGAGGACTATAGTCCATGGAGTCACAAAGAGTCAGATGTG